CTAGGTAGGTGCAAATTACTTTTTATGGCACTTAGGTGAAAAGTTTCATAAACAAATATTTTATAGCATTTTGAGAAATGCCACTAAGTCAAAAACTTTCCAAGCTTATAATGGCATTTTTGAAAAAACAAAAAATGCCAATACATTTTTAAAATTTTTACAATGCAGTAAATGATTAAAAATAAATAAATTAAACTCAATATACACTACAGGAAAAAGCATATTCGGCGACTAAATTTCCTGACCAAAAAAAATTTGGTCGCTGAAAGTATAGCTTTCAGCAACCAAAACAGCATTAGTAGTCAAAAGTAAAGCTTTTTGGCGACTAAATAATTTAATAGCCAAAAGTCTACAATTGGCGACCAAAACTAAGTTTGGTCGCTGATTATATGGGTTTTAGTGGCAAAAAAAATTTTAGTAGCCTAAAGTAAAGCTTTTTGGCAACTAAAAAAATTTAGTAGCCAAAAGTCTATAATTGGCGACTAAAAATAAGTTTGGTCACTGATTATATGGGTTTTACCGACTAAAAAAATTTTAGTAGCCAAAAGTAAAGCTTCTTGGTGACTAAAAAAATTTTGGTAGCCAAAAGTCTATAATTGGTGACTAAAAAATAAGTTTAGTCGCCAAAATTGGTTATTTTTAGCGTGGGAGAACTAAAATCCTAAGGCGGGAATTAAATTTCTTGGCGACCAAAATTTTGGTAGCTGAAAGTGCATCTTCGGTGAGCAAATCCGATTTTGGTCTGCAAAAGTTAAGTTTTTTAGCAACTAAAAAATAATTAGTAGCCAAAAATATAGAATTGGCGACCAAAAAATATTTTTAGTCGCCAAAAGTGGTCTTTTTTTTATTTTACTAGTAAATAGTTTATTTTACATAAATTATGTTCAATAAAATAATTATGTTTATACATATACTTTTATATTAATATAGATGTATGTACTATATAAATAATATATGTTGCATATATAATCATATGGTGCTATAGAGGTGTAGTGGGAAGAGTGTGGTGTATAAGGTTTATAGTGCGGGAGGTTGGCAGTTCGAGCCTCTGCAAGAGCGGATCAAATTGTTCTACAACGAATTATTGTCACGAATGGCACTTGATAGCGTCACGAATAGTGCCTACCATGACATTAAAGTGTCATTGAAAGGTTTTAGTCTTGATAGTGTAATGACATGTATAAGTGTCACTAACTCTTTTTTAATGGCGTTTGATAGTGCCACAAATAATATCTACCATGACATTAAAATGTCATTGAAAGTTTTTAGCCATGATAGTGCAGTGACACTTGCAAGTATCTAACGTGGCACTCGTATCTACCGTGACACCGATAAAAGTGGCACTTGTTCAAAATGCCACAAGACCAAAAAATGTCATTAGAAGAATAGTTTTGTGGCACTTTCAAATGTCACTAAACTAAGAAAATGTTGTAGTGTGCAGAAAATTCTGTGTTAGGCGGGATTTTTATTTTATTTTTTGAAATTTGGCTTAACCGGTCGCCCGAATCGACCTGTCAACAGGGACAGGGCAAGTTTTTTTTTTGGCAATTGACACTTGTTTTTTTTTTATTATATATATATATATATATATATTTTAATAAAACAATATTTTTGGAATTTTTAAAAATTGTTTATGAGCTTTTAATATATTTTAAGTTATATGTTTGGTTATGAGTTGTAAGTTTTTGTATCAAATATTATATGTCACATCAAAAATTTCTCACTGAATTCAAAACTCTTTTCAAACTCATAACCAAAAAAATTTTCTACACTCAAATCATAATTCCAAAACACACAAACTCAAAATACAACTCTATTTCTCAAATCATATTTCCAAAACTCTTCCAACACTACTTAAAATTTCTTCCCGAATAAAAAAAAATAGTGAAATTTGGTTGAGAGATTATAAAATTTCATTTTTTTAAACAATATTAATCTTGTTTAATTATATGTTGGTTATGAGTTGTAAGTTTTTGTATCAAATATTATATGTCACATCAAAAATTTCTCACTCAATTCAAAACTCTTTTCAAACTCATAACCAAAAAAATTTTCTACATTCAAATCATAATTCCAAAACACACAAACTCAAAATACAACTCTATTTCTCAAATCATATTTCCAAAACTCTTCCAACACTACTTAAAATTTCTTCCCGAATAAAAAAAAATAGTGAAATTTGGTTGAGAGATTATAAAATTTCATTTTTTTAAACAATATTAATCTTGTTTAATAATTTTAACAAGTAAATTTTAAGATAAATTACCAATAGATCATACTTTTGAAATTTATTACCTATTAAGTCTTATTGATAAATTTACCAGTCTATCTTATTTTATGAATAAATTTACAGTGATATATTTATCAATCAGAACTTATAAGTAAATAAATTTAGTTAATAAAACTGATTGGTAAGTTTCTTAAATTTTATAAAAACAAAAGACAGACAGATATTTAACAATATTTTAAAAAAGATAATATATATTGATAGTGGTCTGGTTGTACTCAAAATAATAATCTTCTAGAAAAAAAAAAAATAGGCCTAAAATCAAATATTTCGACCCGACTTAGACTGTGGAAAATCCAGCCTTTCTCTTTGATACTGCCATCACGTAAAAACATATCAACCCTTACAGTCAGTCAAGTCTTTTGATGCTGCCATCACATAAAAACAAATCAAACTCTTTGGCTATATTTAGTTGGAAGATTTGATAAGAGAAATAGAAAGAAAAATGAAAATGAAAAGAAAATGAAAAAGAATTGATAGGATTTGAATTTTAAATTATGTTAGGTTAAGTTGGGAAATGGAGAAACAAAATAGCCTAATGTTGTGTTTAGTTGGAAGATTTGATAAGAGAAATGGAAAGGAAAAAGGAAATCAAATCTATTTTTTGTTTAGTTATAATGAAAAATAGACGGGGAAAAAGTAAGAGGGAAACACAATCCCAACTTTTATCTTATGGTTTTATTAGATTGTATTTGGTTAGAAGATTTGATAAGGGAAATATAAAGAGAAAGATAAATAGAAAGAAAATGAGAAAGAATTAGTAGGATTTGAATTCCAAGGAATTAGTAGGATTTGAATTCCAAGTTATGTTTGATTGGGTTAGAAAATAAAGAAAGAAAATGGTCTAAGCAAACCAAAAGAAAAAAAAGAAGAAGCGAGATTGCATTTCCCACTCACTTTATTTTTCCTTGTATTTTCCATTATAATCAAACAAAATGTGAGATTAGATTTCTATTTCCCCTTTTCATTTCTCTCATCAAATCCTTCAATCAAAGATAGCTTTATGTTATTTTCTTTCTCCATTTCCTGACTCAACTAAACACAGCTTCGAATTTGAATCTTATCATTTCTTTCTTATTTTCTTTCCATTTTTCTTTACCTTTACATTTTCCTCATCAAATCTTCAACCAAGTATAGCTTAAGTGAACCCAGAAGACAAAAAAGTGAAATTTTATTTTTCTCTCATTTTCTTTTTCCCTGTATTTTTTATTATAACCAAATAAAAAACAAAATTGTATTTTCTTTTTTCTTTTTATTTCTCTTATCAAATTCTCTAACCAAATGTAGATTCCAGTCGATCAACCCTTGGAGAAAAATAATAACGTGTTGAATACAAATATTTGAATTTTTCAAAGATGCGAATGCATTGGTTATCAATGGGCAGAAACGTGTTGAGTTCAAATATTTGAATTTTTCAAAGATGCCAATGCATTGATTATTAAGGGCAGAATGAGACGGATTAAGAACGCCCTATTCAAATTGTGATCCGTGACTAAAATGTAAACTTAATGATTAATAATCATGTTAATATAAAATGTTGTTTAATTTTATTGTAATTATTATGTTGGTCTGAATGGAACACAAGATGGATTAACAACTTTCTATTTCAATGTATGAAATTGTAATACGTTGCTAAAATTTAAAATTTTATTATTATTATGTTAGTTTAAAATTTAAAATTTTATTTTATTATAATTATTATGTTGTGGGACGCATTTTGAGAAAAAAGAAAACAGCAAATTTTGAGAACAAAAAAGAACAAATATATAGACGAAGGAGAGAAAAAAGAGAACAAACGTGTAGACGAATCATTTATCACGTCAACATTGAATCGTAATTCATTATGTAGAAATTCATCTATTACGTCAGCATTGACACAATATTATTATTTAATCATAATTCATTATGTAAGTAAATTGTAAATTGTAAATGTGGTAGGTTAGGAGGAGGATGAGTTGGAAAGACAATTACATTTACATTGTGGGTTTACCTCTTATATGGTTGTTGTGAGGACATAATTTTTTGAATGATAACACGTGGTTGAGGTGGCACTGAAGTGTCAGCCAATGTTCCACGTGTCCTGGACATGATGCCGAGGTTATCTGCGAGAATACCAGAATTCGGGATAAGCCGATAAGGGACAAGAGTCCTAGATTGGGAGATGACTTCAGTTTGGATAAAGATAAGACTCTCAGAGAGTTTATTCCAATCAAACTGGGAGTCCAGGATTAGCATTGAAGCTAGGCTTCTATTGGGATTAGGTCAGTGTTGGCTATAAAAGAGAGGCACCCCCATGGGTCAAAGGTACGCTTTTTGTATTCTAAACAGTGAGTTAAGCACTTTTGCTATCTTTGAGAGATAGCTGATTTGATCGTCGGAGTGCAACCAGGTGGACGAACCACTGTCAGAATCTCTTCTTTCTGTAACAGGTCGTTCGGGCTTAATCTATTCTACCGGTGCTCTCCAGCTAAGTACTAGTTTGGCAATGTAGTAAGAAATCGGCTCACGCATCCCGACTTACAAATTCGTCTTGCCCGATGTCCCAAAAAAGAGCAAGTCGCCTCCTTCTGCTACAACTCCTCCAACAACTTCATCCCCTCGGCCAGATCAGGGGTCAACCTCTGATCCAGCAGAACAACCATCGACCTCGGCTCCACAACTGATCCCTCCATCTCAACGCAAACGCCGACATCGAACTGCAATCGCCGCAGAGATGGGTCATAAGAAAGTTGTTGCAGACGACCTTTTAGCCGACATCCCTGATACTGTCACCGCACAACCAGCACCATCCCAGCCTCAGCCAAAGTCGAAACCAAAAAAGTTGAAGAAAGCCCAACCCAAGGCAACGGTGACTCAGATCAACACTGAGGACACCTTGCTGATCTCCAAAATTGCTGAGGCGGAAAAAAGTGCCTTCGCCGCTAAAAAGAGGCCCGCCGAGGCCGCACCTTCCAAATTAACCAGGTCAAAGAGATCGAGGTCTGAGTCAGCAACAACCTCGAGCTCTTTGAAATCTAATGCCCCCTAGGCTTCCCCCATTACCATCGAGGACAAGTCGGTTAGAGCTAGCGACAACGTTGATGATATTGAAGTCGGCGTTGCCCTCTCCACGGCGTTGCTCCTTCTCCAAGATCTCAATCGCAACGCCGAGATGAACGAGTATGAGAACTTCGCTCTAATGTTGCAGCACTCCGTACAAGTAAGCCCTTAATACTTGGTGCTTTACTTTCTCTATTTTTCTTACTTAGAAAATTTTGCTAACTTTTGTTCTGTCCATTTCTTCTAGGCGATCCAACATGGCCACTCCTTCGCAATGCATGCCTTTAACATTAAGAAGGAGTTAGCAAATAAGACCAAGGAGGCTACCGGCTTGCAAAGGACCATAAACAAGGCTGAGGCCAAGATGAAGACTTTAATAAACCAAGCCGAGGAAGCCAAAAGAGCTAAGGATGAGGCCGAGGAAAAGGCAGATGCTGCAGAGGCCATCGCCAAGGCCCTTGAGGCCGAAAAGAATGAGGCCCAAGTAAAAACTGTCGAAGCCCAGGCCGAGCTCCGAGCTGCCTTGTCCACAAAGGAAGCCGAGATCAAAGTGATTGATGAAAAGGCATACACCGAGGGGGCAGCCGACGTCAAGGAGGATTATAAGAAACAAGTCAGACAGACATGCAACAAGGGCTTTACCCTTGGTTGGATGGCTGCTCTGAAGGCGTTGGCTGTCCCTGAGGACTCTCTTCTGAAGGATGCTAGCAGCCTCGTCCTGCCATTCCCCACTCTCAAAGCCAGTCTGAGGACGAAGCTGAGTCCGAGGATGACACTGAGGTCGAAAAGAACAAAGAGGCTGCTGGGGCCAAGTCCCCAACTCTGAATGAGCAAGTTCTAGACTTGACTCATGATGAGGAGGACGAGGTCTCAAAGGGTGACTCTGCTGAGAAGACATCATCCGAGGCGCCTATCGCCGAGAAGAGCCTCGACGAGACTCTTAAAGAGATCGACCCCAAGCTTACGACTGAGAAGGCCGCCGAGAAGAGTTCCCAGATATCCTTTGAGCCCCAAACCCAACCAGCTAATGACGCCAAATAGTCTTGTTTTTCTATTTCTTGTACCTTGTACTTTTTTCTCACTTTCAAAACAATGTAAGCTTTAATTTGGCCGACGTGCCACTTTTGTAGTCAGAACAATTACTCTTCAATGTCAGGCTAAAGTGTCTTCTTTCCTTATCTGAATACAGCTTTAAATTTCTTCTTTTAATGTGATTGCATGTTTGTCTTCCTTTTACTGTCTTGTATAATTCTATACTTAAAATAATTTCCATGTCTTCAATGTACGCCTTAACTGTGTAATCTTCTCGGTGTGGAATACTTCGGCTATACCCACTAACAGTTTACCTCGACTTTGTCCTAACACTTGAAAATATTTCTCATAATATTTTTACAAGTGTTATTTACAACTTGCCACTTCACTCTTTACTTATCAGGGCTTCTGTCTTCTATTATTTCAACATAACCTTGGGTTAACTTCAACTTGTAAACTTTTCTTAAAATTTCAACAACTGTTAAATCAACTTCCTTTAACATAACCTTGGCTTAACTTCATCTTGTAAATTTTTCTTAAAATTTTAACAAGTGTTAAACCAATTTTAGCTTGTAAATTCCAACTCCTGAGCATCATTCTCCAGCCCTCTGCCCCCTAATGTGAACTTAAGTTTCACTTGGGTTCTCATTAAACATGTGGCTTTGACCTCATCGCCGAGGTTAGATTCGAACAAAGACTAGCCGAGGTTACCAACCTTGGTCTCTTTATTAATCTGACTGACATGCACTTAGCTCCAATCTGTGTCTAATTCTACTGATATGATAAGTCCAGGTTAATCCAACTTAGTTCAACTCTATTATATGCAAGTATAATTCAACTCGGCCATATAATAAGTTTAAGTTATTCGTCATGTTTCGCTTAGAAACATCATCAACTTAGTTAAACTCTATTATATGCAAGTATAATTCAACTCTGCCATATTATAAGTTTAAGTTATTCGTCATGTTTCGCTTAGAAATATCGTCAACTGAGTTCAACTCTATTATATGCAAGTATAATTCAACTTTGTCATATAATAAGTCTAAGTTATTTATCATGTTTCGCTTAGAAATACTGTCAACTTAGTTCAACTCTATTATATGCAAGTATAATTCAACTCTGCCATATAATAAGTCTAAGTTATTCGTCATGTTTCGCTTAGAAACATCGCCAACTTAGTTCAACTCTATTATATGCAAGTATAATTCAACTTTGCCATATAATAAGTCTAAGTTATTCGTCATGTTTCACTTAGAAACATCGTCAAGTATCTAGTCAGTCATACTACACAAGTTTAAAAATAAAGCTAAACCTTTATTATTACTTCGGCTAATAGCAAAACAAAAGAAAACTTAAAAAACAAGAAAATCTAATGATAAAAAAACTTTAGATTGCAAGTTTTCCAAGGTCTTGGCAACTTTTTGCCTTCACTGTCTTCAAGCCGATATGTCCCATTGCCCAAGACCGAGATGATTCTATAGGGTCCCTCCCAATTCAGGCCAAGCTTGCCCTCTCTGGGATCCTTCTTGTTACCGACGACTTTTCTCAGGATGATATCACCAACTTGGAACTCTCGCGGGTTCACCTTGTTATTATAAGCCCTAGCAAGCTGCTGCTTGTATGCCCTCAGCTGAATTGCTACTTTCTCCCTTCTTTCTTCTAGCAAATCCATATCTCGAGCCAGGAATGGCTCATTGGTCCTATTTTCTACTCCCTGGGTTCTGATTGCTGGGATACCGACTTCCAATGGAATGACTGCTTCTGTACCATAAGCCATGGCAAATGGGGACTCCCTAGTCGATCTTCTCGGCGTAGTCTGATATACCCAAAGTACATTGGGCAGCTCTTCCACCCACTTCCCCTTTACAGCTTCCAACTTTTTCTTGATCCCATCCAAGATAGCCTTATTGGAGGCTTTTGCTTGACCATTACTCTGAGGAAAGCTTAGGGTAAAGTAATAATTCCTGATTTTGTACTTTGCACAGAAGCTCTTGATTAGCTTGCTGTCAAACTGTGTACCATTGTCAGCTATTATTGCTCTTGGGATCCCAAACCTAGTGATGATGTTTTTCCATATAAATTTCTTTACATCCACGTCTCGAATTTTTGCAAGGGGTTTAGCTTCTACTCACTTGGTGAAGTAATCTGTTGCCACCAGCAGGTACTTCCTTTGTCCAGATCCATGCCCCATTTGGCAAATGGCCAAGGGCTGGACACTGGGTTCAAGTCTGCTGCTGATTGATGTATCAAAGGTGCAAACCTTTGGCACTTCTCACACTTCTTAACATAGGTTTCAGCTTCTTTCTGTATGTAGGGCCACCAGTACCCCTGAGTAATGGCCCTATGAGCAAATGACCTACCCCCAGCGTAGCTTCTACATACTCCTTCATGTATCTCGTATAGAAAGTCTTCAACCTGTGCAGGATGCACACACCTCAGAAGGGGTCCAGTAAAAGATCTTCTATGGAGATGTCCTTTTATTGTCAAACTGAATCTTGCCGACTTCAGTCTGATCTTGTGCACTTCTTTACGGTCATCTAGCAGCTTCCCATCTCTAAGGAATACTATTATTGTATCTATCTAACTTGGTCTCATCTTCACAAACATTGCTTCACGCTCTGTGTTCAGTGGTTCTATGCTTGGACCTGACAAGTAGTTAACCATTATCGTTCTTGCCTCTCTTGGTTTCATTGCACTAGCTAGGTTGGCCAGAGCATCTGCATGGCTGTTGTCATCTCAGCTAACTTGCTGTAATCAGTAATTCTGGAATAAGGCTACCAGTCTGCCCACTTCCTTTACATAGGCCGACATCCTTTCATCTCGGGCTGCATATTCGCCTATTGCCTGGTTGACTATAAGCTGAGAGTCGCAGAAGACTATTACCTCGTCAACTTCCATGGTTGCTGCCAGCTTTAATCCTGCAATTAGTGCTTCATACTCTACTTCATTGTTTGAGACCTTAAACCCCAAATGAATGGATTATTCCAATATCTGCCCATCTGGAGATACTAGCACTACTCCTACCCCCACTCCTTGTCGGTTTGAACTTCCATCAACAAACAATCGGAATGAGTCGCTGATGTAAATACTGCAGGGCCTAAGTTTCTCTTTCTTCCTTTGTTCTGTTGTCCCCCGCTGGGTTTTTCCTTGCTCACTTGGACGTTGTATACCTTGGCTCAACGGAGCCCGATGTATGACGGCGTCTGGTGTGAATTCGGCCACAAAGTCGGCTAAGACTTGGCCTTTGATTGTTGTCTTGGATCTGAATTTCAAGTCATATTGGCCCAGGGCCACTGCCCATCAGGCTATTCTGTCTATCAGATCTCCCTGCTGCAGCAGGGACCTCAAAAGATGTTCAGTTAACACCACAATTTTGTGGGCTTGAAAGTAATAATTCAGCTTTTTGAAAGCTATTACTAAAGTTAGCGTTAACTTCTCCAAGGGTAGGTATCTGGTCTCTGTATCTGCCAGGGTTTTACTCACTTAGTAAACTGCCCTTTGCTCTCCCTTTTCTTCTCTGACTACTACTACACTCACTGCATGCTCTGAGACTGCCAAGTATAAGAACAACTCATCTCCAAGTATTGGATTTGAAAGAACTGGAGCTGTGGTCAAATACTTCTTCAACTCGGCCAAGGCGACTTCGCACTCTTCTGTCCATAAGAAGTCTGCGGCTTTCTTCACTAGGCTGAAGAAAGGTTTACACTTGTCAGAGCTTCTGCTTATGAATCTATTCAGGGCTGCAGCCCTTCCAGTCAATATCTGCACTTGTTTTGCCGATGTTGGGTTCTTTAGTTCTAAGATGGCTTTGATCTGATCCGGGCTTGCCTCAATGCCCCTTCTGGTAATCAAATATCCTAAGAACTTACTAGACCCAACTTCAAATGCACATTTAGATGCATTGAGTCGAAGCTGATATGTTCTAAGGATGCCAAAAATTGCCTTTAAGGCTTCCAGATGACCCTCTGGTTCTTTGGTCTTTACGACCATGTTATCTATGTATACCTCTACAATTTTGCCAATTAGTTGTCTGAACATTTTAGTCACCAATCTCTGGCAAGTTGCTCCTGCATTTTTTAACCCAAAAGACATCACTCTGTAGCAATACAACCCTTTTGGGGTGATAAATGCAGTCTTTTCCTCATTTGGGGGGTACATAGCTATCTGATGGTACCCCCTGTAGACATCCGAGAAGCTTATCCTTCCATGCCCTGAAGTGGTATCCACCAATTGATTAATTTTCGGTAGTGAGAAACTGTATTTGGGACAAGCCTTGTTCAGGCTGGAGAAGTCCATGCAGACCCTCCACTTCCCATTCTTTTTCTTCACACCTACAGTGTTTGATAACCATGTTGGCTAATTTACCTCTCGAATGGCTCTGGCCTCTAGAAGTTTATCTACTTCCTCTTTTACTGCCTCAACATGCATTAATGTCAGCCTCCTTGCTCACTGGATGACAGGTTTGGCCGACCTATCCACATTCAGTCTATGGCAAGTGACCTCGAGGTCAATGTTAGGCATCTCGTATGGCGTCCCTGTAAACACTTCAATGTTTGCCCTCAAGAATGTCTCTAGCTCTTTTTCCTCTTCCTCGGCCAAGCCCGAGCCGAGAAGAAATAAGCGTTCTTCATCCCCTTGCTGAACAAGGATTTTCTTCAAGTCTCCCTCACTCTTCTTGGCTGGCTCTTTGCCGACGTCCTCCAGGACTTCCACATCCTCGTCCTCAATTTCTGCTGTTTCTGTTTCTCGTATGTTGCAGGTAGATTTCATTACTACCATGGAGCAATTCTTTGCCTGCACTTGATCCCCTCTGACCTTCTCTATTCCATGCTCTGTTGGGAACCGTAATAGCTAATGCAATGTTGAGGGAACAACCCCCGTTACATGTAGCCATGACCTTCCCAGGATAGCATTGTAAGAGGAGGGGGTGTCAATTATGGTGAACTCTATTTTTATCTTTTTGGTGCCAGTCTGCACCTCCAAACTCGCTGCTCCCAGGGGCCACGTCG